CGGTCTCCTGCGGAACCGGCGGGCGAGGACCGTCCGGGACCTGGTCTGGGCTCCGGTAACCGGTTTCGCACCGGATAGCGGAAGGGTGGGTCCTGAGACCCGAAGGCCCTCTCCCCCCCCCCCTCGCGGTCCGCTCCGCCGGTGAGCCGCCGCAAGTCGCACACCCAGGGAGAGTGTCCAGAAGAGGACCACCGGTCAAGGACGCGCGCCCGACAGCAGTGAACGAGACGTGTCCAGAAGTCAGGACCCAGTCCCGGACGCCAGGCGCACGTCGGCAGTGGCGAGGAAAGCCCATACCGTGCTTACGTCTCGTTACCGCGCGACTAATGCCCCGTGTGTTCATAATCATTTTTTCTACGTAGAGCAACCGAAATCACGAATCGTGGCTATTGCACCCACCTAAGCCGGAAACAATGTTGTGCAAGTTGACCAAGAAGCTTGTTAACCGTCGCGATTTTGCGCCGAACAAGTGCGTGCTGGCACGCTCACTCGTGACGCGAGGGAAATATCCTGTCAACTTCACAGTCAGGCAATGCCCTAATCAGACACTGTTCAGCTGTATTCCCACCAGAAAGCACCAGGTCGCTGTTCTGCAGTAATCACGGTCTCGCACCTTCATCTCGACACCTTTTATTCAAACTTATATTCCGTGACCGTTGTCAGGATACGTGCGACATGTGCGATTACCTTGAAGCGTAGCCGGCTCACTGAGCTTTACATCGAGCGATGTTCCTTGTCAGGGTAACAAATTGATTTCTGCACTCGTAACGGGTCAGATGAAGTAAGCCCTGTTTTTTGTCTTGTCCGCAGAGGATCAGCGAAAGGTTGAGCGTACGTGATAAAGCAGAATCGGCATCACAAATGCTCCAAAGTTCCAAGTCCAAAGACGAAATTTGCCACATTCATGACGAATTCTACGGCGTAGGAAAAACAACCTTGACTCATTTCGGTGTGCAAATCGGTTCCAGCGAATACGGAATGAATGGCCCAAAGGAACAAATCTTCTTTCAACAAGCCAACACCCCAAGGTAAGCCAAGCTGTCGTGAACATCACGCTCATTCACGTCCTTTCGGGGCCCCGGCGCACGAGCCCCTGTAACCGGCACCAGTTCAGGGGAACAAACGTCACTGCCGCTGGTCAGCAGCCGCCATCTGACCCGTCACTGTGACGAGGCAAAAACGTCACCTCTCCCTGCGCTGAGCGTGGACTGTGCGCCGGTGACCCACGCGCGCCCGCCCGCCGACGCGGCCGCCCCGCCGCGTAAGGTCGCTGAGCTGGCCAGAGCCGGCTCGGGGTCGCAGCAGAGGCTGCGCGTGCAAAGCGTCCGCGGCTTAAAGCGGCTGCGCCGGCCCAGGGGTGGGTCGATCGGCCGATTTGGGCGGGGGGGAGTCAGGTCAAGCGTCGGTACCGCCCTGATCGTCTCGATCGCAAATGGGGGTTCATATCGCAACCAGCATGACAGGTGACTCGGGCCAATGCGCGCCCTGTGAGCGAAAATCAAGGAATTCTCCACTGAGGTGTTATAGTAGCAAATTGTTAATCGACACATTCCATTCCGTATGTACTTCGGATGTGGGTTAATCAGTACATTTCAACTTAACCTACAATTATTAATGGCGACAAAATTCAACGTCATTTTACCATGTATGTCAAGCAACGGCAACAAATGGTGATGATAACCGACGGTCAGAACCCACTGTGGGGTCCAACCGTCGGTTATGAATGACAGTGACACTCATCGCGACCCCTACATGTTCAAGACAACACAAAACTATCGAAAATTAAGCTTTCAATAAACAAGATCCTTCTGTTAGTCGCCTCTAGGTGCCCGCGCATCTGCACTAACTAATGCCAAGTCAAAGTTGTAGTCGCCGACTGAAGCAGGACACAGGCAACCGATTATCACGCAAAACCAGGCCTCCACAACAGTTACGAGGTAGAAACTATGGCGTCGGCATAAAACAGATATCCTTGTGTTTAAGTAACCTATTCGTGCCCTAAAAATGCGACCGGCTTTCGTCTTTGGTGCCAATTGGCACGTACCACTACAACGGCGCTTACGACACGTTTGAAATACAGGTCCTGATCTTTTTCTGCCACCTGCGTAAGCCGGTGATGTTTTGTTCATATGCCACAAGATTACGATGGCTTAACGAAGCACTGACATTCATGCCCCGTGTGAGACATTCAGGGCGGCGACGGCGGCGATGTCAAGAAGCTCCACACCACCGAGTCAAGGTGAGAGCAAGCCACCGCGGTGGCGCCGGCTTCACAGTCAGGGTTCCACAAAAAGGTAAGCACGTGAACAGTGAGCAGGACTTCGCAATCGGCGCGCAGCTCAAGTTTCAACTGGAAACCCGGTTTAGCGCGCCGCGGGCGAGCGCATTTTGTCGTGTGGTGAGGCTTAATCCAAAATTTGCCTGCGTCATTATCTATATATGTGCTGTCAGTTCCGTGCCTTGCCTTCGGCAGTAACGCTACGGACTGAAACATCGTCATCATGAAAGCCGACCCCGGACATTAGAATGCCATCCCCGTCATGGTGAAAGTCGGTACCACTCATCTCCCGCTGGACCCAATTTAATGGAGGTGCTTCGCACAGCTCTTCCATGGTGAAGAAGCAAGTCCTAGCGGAAAAGTATCATGCGAATCAAGCGATTACTAGATTGAGCCCTACAACTGAGAGTAAAGAACGGTACCTTAGTGGGCCCAATCCTTTTAACTCCCCACCGATTATTTGCGATAACTCAGGGACTACAGCATTTCAGGCCTTGGTAAGCTTGTCTGGGAGTGGCTCTTCGTAAACCACAACCTGGTTATCTCAGTTCAGATTCTATACACACCTGAAAAATTCCCTTTGACCCACCGAATCGCTTTAGACGCGTCTTGGGACTTTTGTAACATTCATCTGTTGGTCATGCTCAGACAACGCTGCTGACGGCAAGCACGCGCTGACAAAGGGCATCGGTTTTCCGATACGCCCGGAATGCCATCCAGCTCTGCAGATCCCCGCCACAACCTTCAGTACACTTTTCGGCCCTGGGAAAGCTCCGAAATAGCCTTGCAAGGCACGAAAGGCCTCCACCCACACGTACTGTAAATGAGACACGTCAAACAAGCGTTGAACTCATCCTGGCTGCCCACGTCGTTTGAGCTATTACGTAATATACTCACCCTTTACGAGATCCAGCCATTCACGCGGCTATCAAGAGAAAAAATTGAGCCTTACGGTGGTTAAATATCTTGCCTATTCACTGAGCATGATCGTGGCATAAGGTTCAACGCTAACTTGAAGCTAAATCATCACATATTGGCGTAAGCGAACGTTATTTACGAATAATTTACAGTTTCAACCCAAGCCACAAAATGCAGGGTTTATGTCAGTGCGAGACCCAGTCATAAATCGCTTTGAACGTCAGGAGGTATCTTCGCATCAAGAAGAGATATCAGGTGCAGCTCGGGGCTCAGTGTCTACCCACGGTCGTAAAGTACGCTTAGCCTACGCGGCTCTATGGCATTATCTTTCCAATGACGACGAACAAGCGCTCTCCAAAATCTTCACGCGCTTGAAAAACAGCATGATAGCGTGATGACATGCCAACACTGACCATCACTGCAAAGTTTTTTTTAAGTACCCTGCGAGCGGCTAGTGTGCTCTGCACGTTCCATGCTGGCTGCGTCATCGCGCTGCCCCCCCCCCCCCCTCCCCACCCGCACTGGGCGCGCCTCTGGTTCCCTCACACAGTGCGGGGACCAGACGGTGGGAGGTGAGGCCGGGTCACCCCGGCGGGCCCGGACACAGGTCAGTTGGTGCACGGCAGCCGCCTCCGGGCTTCGCGGACAAACAAGGAACACGGACGTTGTCATTCGGTCTCTGTTACCAAGACTGCTCGTGACAGCTTGTACCCATGCGTGAGCCTGAGCAGACCATGGCAGTGGTTCTGCAATGTCTCGCTACGCCACGGACCGTTGTTATTGTGACATGGAAGTCATTTAAAT